CGAGAGATGGTCGATGCCCCAAGCTTCTCGGTGTTTAAGAGGCATTTGGACAATGCCCTTAATAACAGGCTTTAACTTTTGGTCGGCCCTGAAGTTGGACTAGATGATCATTGTAGGTCCCTTCCAACTGAACTATTCTATTCTAATATTTTAGAGTCTGGACACTGGCTGTGCAGTGGAATTCACCTGTGCTAACAATACATAGCAGACCACGAGGTTAACAAAAGCCATGCCTGTGAGACTATGTTTGCCTCAGTCACCACTCCCCTTGCTCTGGAGGAGGTTAGGAGAAAGTAATTTGAGGTAGCCCTTTCCTACATACAGACTTATCCATGCTTATCATTGCAGATCAGAGTAGAGAGTCAGTGTGTGAGTCACACCTCCATCCACATTCATAAAGATGGGTAGAGGTCATCTTTGTCAATAGGAAATACTCATGTAGGGTGTCTCACTGATCATCCATATGGGTCGTTTTGTATGGACTTGCCCCTTTTACCACATAACTACTGTAGCCTCATCTGTGACATTAACTTACGTTTGTACAAGCAGTCAGTGCTTTGTTCCTCAGAAACCTGGGGCAGCTCAGGAACAGTCAGGTTTTGGGGGGGTTTCTGAAGTGAGATGAAGAAATACTTTCTGTGGAGCTTCCCTGCATAATTCACAGGTACATCTTGCTATCTGCCTGATCACTGCCCGTTTCATTTCACCTCTTGCTCAATCCTGGTTTTCAACATGGAATTCTTAATCATAGCTCATGTCATATCTTCAGGACATGCCATTATAGTAATCTCACTGTTGGTCTTTTGCTGCCTTTCGATGCTCGCCAGCGCTAAACAGTGCAGAGGGGACACTGTAAACATCTGAGGTTCCAGATGTCAAACCTCAAGATCCTGTTACAAAGAACTTAGGACAGCAGCTGGGTTACTCTGCAAGCTTTGATGAAAATGAACATGTTTACTGCTTCTTAAATATTTTCTTTGTTTTATTTTAATATTTATAAAACTTTTCCTGCCTTAAGTAACTCTTGTAAACTTACTTTTCTATTAATACCCTAGCATGGTTGTGTGTAATTGGCACGTGATTAATACATTTAATGGAGTTTCGGTCCTGAATGTGATTCCTTTGGCACTTTCTCTGATTTTTTCTCTTTGCTATTCATGTTGGCCACCTGAGACGCTTTCTGATGTTTTTGGCATAGCATTCATTTTGATTTCGTAGTTGGTAGCATTACTATTTTATCAAATAACCTGATAAAATGCTACAGCAAGACTGCAGCAGCAGCCAAAGCACTGATGCTTTCTAATGGCGCACTTTACCTCTGCTCTATTATCACTGCCCATTTCATTATTTGCAAGTTGATTACAGCTGCGTTTCTCAGGGGCTATGAAATATTCAGCAGCCCGGACTAGCCTGGGGAGAATCGCAGTCTTTGCAGTTGAACACCTGCCCTCAAAGGCAAAGAGGAACCAAAAAATTCTCATGTTTAAAACTGATGGGGAAATTCCTTCTCTGCTTTACGTTTCCCACAATGCTGACTTACAGGTTCACACTATTGAAAACTGCCGCTTTACTTTACGTTTGTCATTGGATGGGGGGAAGAATAAGAATAAATATACAACTACTGCATTTCTGCCATGCTTGTCTGGCTACAGCAAAGAAGGAAAGAAATGTTGGTATAATTAGTTGCCTGTGTGTCACTGTGAGGCAGTTGGCATTCTGGGTGGAGTTGGGAAAAAAGCTCTCCGTTAAGGGCAAAAATTAACACTGCCGGTTATGTTCTCACACTTTGTCTCTCAGGAGGACTAGCCAGCAATGATTGACTGAAATGTGCAATATTTTACCAAGTAGGAAACAGATAAGATTTTTATAAACAGGATACTTCATCATTAAAGTAAAGAAACAATTGCTTTGACCTTGACACTGAATGAGTAAGGCCAGCATTGTGATAATTGAGAATGTAGCTAAGCAACAGTTCTCCAGGAGCTTGCACTGCTTTATTTTTAGTAGCCTACACCAGTAAGGGGCGGGGGGGAGCTGAACGAGCAAAGCAACTGGTTAATGCTTACAAAAAAAAGAACTTATTTCTGTCTTTGTGCAAAAAGTTTGAATTGTAATAGGCACTTACACCAATTTTAATTTGGGTTTACGTCAAAAGAAAGTAATTGAATCAGTATATCCTTCTGTGGTCAGAACAAGCAGATAGCCTGACAGGATCCCTGATTTAGAGACTCGAGCTACTTTAGAGACTCGAGTCTCTTCTGAAAATTAATAGTGTAGAAGAAATGGCGTATTCCTTCAGAAATAGTCTATTTTATATCTATTTCTGCTTACTTTGGTGGTAATTAGATTTCCTAATCTTACTGGTTAGCACTGTACAGCCTAATTTATTTGAAAAGTTGGACAGTAGTTTTAACTAAATTAATTTGGGAAGTCCTTTAAATAAGTTCTTGCAACCACTTGCTGTAGATATGCTCTAACTTTGTTTTAAACTAGTCTTACAATACTATAGCAAGCCAGTTCCCTACAAAGTTAATGAAGTAAGACCCTTTAAATCTGACATAAATATCCAGGGAAGGGAAGGTACTTTCTTCTAGCTAAGTCAATTTACAAACCAAGTTAGTTTAATTTTTCACTTAGGCAATGGAAAGAAGATCAGTCTGAGAAGTTCAACATTTTTATTATGTAGGCATTGCAGGACTGATTGCAACCACATGGCCACTCTGTTATCCCGTAACTGAAAGTATGTGTTGCAAGGCTGGTGCTAATGGAAAGTTTGCAACCTCTTTACCTCTCTCTGTTCCTAGTAAATCTCTCATCACTGACTTGGATGCTCTTTCTTTAGATACCAAACCAATATAATTACTAAGTAACAATGAGTTTCTGCTCATAAAACCCAAGCAGCTGCAGAAATCTCTCTGAAGATACTGTCGCTGCAGGGGTATAAGCTACCTTAACTTCACATATAGGAGCCTTTAATTCTGATTTGGTCTATGAAATCCGTATTATTGGCAACATTGCACAGGTGAGGGAAAAAATGTCCTAATTCTCAGCCTAACTTCTTTATCAGATCTTTGAAAATCAGAAGATAGTGCACACACAAAAATAATAAAAAGGGGTTTAAAAACTGTGTTAGTTACTCTCAGGTATTTTAAATACAGGAAGGAAACCTTTTTCTAAAGTACGTTTCTCCGGATATGATTTTAAATTTGAAGAAACAGGAGATAACATATATTGTCTGTTATGTTCTCACATATGTGGCATAATTGAATTCAGAATTGTGAATTATTCTTTCTTTTTTTTGCCTAGGAGGAAACGTTTGTCAATACTGTATATCACTTGAACATCAAGCTCTACAGAGACTCCAAGGTAATGATTTATGCGACTGTGTTCTGTTTCCTGTGGTGGTCAGCTCAGCTTTAGTCCAGTTTTGTGAAGACCTCTGTAATTTATGAAGATGCCGGTGCTAAGCAATTAAACTGGGTAGCAGCAATGTTACAAGTAGCTTTTACAGAAGCTGTTGCTTACAGCTTTATGATCCATGGTGTGCTGTTGAGATGCCAGTGTGTGTGTGCGTATAAAATAAAGATGTGATACATTTTGAAAATGCAGTTGTTGTTTTCATGTCTTAAAAAGCAGCAGCACCAGTCCCAGCTGAAAGGTAAAATCAGCTGGATGTGAGTTTGTATATGATTGTTCAGAAAGCCTTTCCTTACCCCTCAGCATCCCAGGCTTCCAGCTGGTTGTCTCCCTGGAGCTGTGCGAGAGGTACCATGTGCTTTGCAGCGCTGGCGTGGGCTTTCCTGCCCCACGTGATGGGAGTTTTGGTCAGTGGATCTGTTTTGGTCAAGTAGAGTGATGACTGCCTCATTGGAAATTGCCGTCTTTGCTCACTTTGCCAAGTTCTTAAAAGCTGCTTCTGCTGTTGCGATTGCTGTCGATGCTGCAGATCTATACATTGCATTTGCTTGTTTCAAAGCCTGGTTTGAAAGCATAGCAAATGAGGTCTCCATTGGTATGGATGGAAAATAAATAACAAAATAGACAGCTGGGGGTTCATATTTCATGTTCAAGTTACAAAGCTATCCCACTGTGGAGGGTATGGAAAAGAATACTGTGGTTAGGATGTTAGCCTGGGCATGCAGTCTGCAAGTCATATCTGGTACCTTTGCACGGAGGCTGATGAGATCCAGTCTTCAGTATGTAGACTGGTGCTGCTTGCATTCATTTACTGGAGGTCTGATGAGGTTTTAGCAACATCAAATTTATATTGGGTCGCCACTGCCAACACCTGGCAGATGGTGAATTTTCAAACACTGCAGTTATTTTTTATTCCAAGTATCCCAGCCCTTGCTGGGTGGCTGTTTCTAATAAGTGATGCTGTGGTACTGGACCGGATTTGGTTGTATGTAGTGCACTCAATTTGTGGCTGAGTTGAGAAATAGTGGGAATATTTCAAGTCCCTTCCTTAGTGCAATGATAGCCTTGAAACTTGCCATGGAATCAGTGCTTTGCTAATGCAAATGTCAATAAGATGGTAAGTGAAGAACCTTGAAGGTAACCACATTGCAGTAACTGACCTGGCACACGTTCCTAGCTTTTCCTAAAGGAAAGCTGGTTTGCTCAGAGAAGCTTATTGGTTTAACTTTGCCTTTGCAGAAGCTGAGAGCACACCTCTGATAACATACACAGTTACCACAACTTGTCTGACCAGGTACCTCCTAAGCTACAGGGACTGGTTGTACGAGTTTGTGTGAATATACTCAGAGTCCCTCTCTCAGTCTCTTTTTGTTATCTGTACATAGTACAGAGATGCTTCAATATCAAATCTTGAGCCCATGAGAAGTGCATAAATATAACTGACATATGATTGATGGAAACATTGCTTCTTGATAGTATTTATCTTTAAAATGAACATAGAAATCAACGAGCTTGACCAGACACCTTAAAGATAGAATTAATGTAAGATCAATTTAATATCACACATACTTCTGGAGTCTTACCTTGTAGAAGCCAGAGGATTGTGATAGTTGTCTTTAAATCTGTCAAAGATTAAGCGTTTTAGTTCTGAACTCTCATTCTCTGTAAAAGATACTCAGCTCTGGAAATGAAACACCTCTGAAAGGTGAGGGGTTTTCTCTCTCTCTTCCCTGTTGAATAGCTCATCATTTTGGAAATTCTGTTTGTAATAAAAATGTGTTGATGACTGCTGCATGCCTAAAGGACCTGGATAACCTAAACTCTTGCATGAGAAATTAGAAGTTGTGAACAGGTTATCATGCCATGTAATCTTCCATCAGCGTTAGACAGCCACACGGTGCCATCTGAGCACAGCTGTAGGTCCAGCGAATTTTCTTTCCCGTTCAAAAAAGTTGGGAATCTTAGAGCTGAAAAAAAAATATTGTTTTATTGGGGTTTTAGGGTCTTTTAAAAATCTGGATTTACTTCTCTGATCCTATGTATGGTACAATCCAGAAGCAGTTTTTTGGCCTTGAGTGAGGCTGGAAGGTTCCTTTCACCCAGCTTTGTTGGTAGAGAAATAATACCAAACTTTAGCCTGGCAGTGTGGGATTTTTGACTTTGTAAAAAAATAAACAACCTTCTCATGGATCACCTTACAGCTATGGTTTAGAGAGTGGCTGAAGGAAGTGCCTTCAGATGGAGGTGGGGAAGGCAAGTGTGGCCAGTGATAGAGGAGGTGGGTGGACTGAGTCAGGCCATTGAGGGTCTCTCCGTGTGGAACCACATCTCCAGGTGCTGCGTGCACGCAAGGGTCTGCGTATTTCACCGAGGGGTTCCCCCGAGGTTGGTATGGCTCTGCCTCGTCAAGGTCGAGAGGTTACAGCCAGTGTCAGTTTTAGGAAGCATAATTATTCATTTACATAGCATAAAAAGCGTAAGAAAGTGTGAGTCAAGTAGTTGTTGGTGAAGTGTCCAAGGTGAAGTGGTCCTGTCACCTGAGGGTTGGCAGAAATACCTGTTGTGCAGTCATTTTCTTACAAGTGGACGAATGGCAGTTTCCTGTGATAGATGTTGTGGGTTGAGGGACGTGCGAGGGGTGAAGAGTAGGGCAGGGGTCTCGGGTAGGTCTCTGTAGCAGGACAGCTGAGGTGTTTGCAGGCCCTCCCCTGCAAACCTGTGTCTCATGCAGGACACGCAGGCCTGGTTTGACATGTGTGGTGGTCGTGTCTGGGCTTCGAGGTGGTCTGCCATGTTGCCTGTGTCTCTGCTCTGGGTTGTCTGGCCTGGCATTGGCATGGCGGAGGCACAAGGTGTGTGGTTGAAGGACAGGGTGCGAGCAGGTCAGCCATGTGCCGGCAAGAGAAGGCTTGCTGACATCTGAGCACTCATCAAGACTGGGGGAGCGCTGTCAGAAGCCCAACCGTGCCGGCTGCCGGAAAGGCAGCGATAAGGGATGAAGAGGCACTTCTCTCAAGGCCGCTTCAGTGCACGGGACACGTGATTTGGTGCTTAAAATGTACAGCTTGCCTGTTTTGGAAATAATTTGGGAATAGCTGCTCTGCTTTAAGTTTCTGTCCTGCCTGTTTCCCTAATAATGTTCACACGCAAACAGTCCACTGCTGTGGCCAGGGGTTGGAGTTTGCATATATTCAGCATGAATAAAAAATCATACAAGCTTCAGCCTGAGGCTTCTCTTTTTTGCTTGTGTGGATTTTTGGTGGTTTTGGGGTTTTGTTTGTGAGGTTTTTTGTTGGGTGGGTTTTTTTGGTTTTGTTTTTTTTTCTGGAAAGCCCCCTCACTTTGTCTTTAGCACTTCACTTTCTTTGAATTGGTAAAAGCATTTTCTGTTGGTGTTGATGCTAATGGGCTCCACCACGTTAGCTAGTGTGAGCCTCAAGACATCTCTTATCTCTGCCGCCATCAGTGGTAGCTTCTGCACGTCTGCAGGTTTCCTTCCCTGAGATGTCAGGTTTTCCCTCTGCTTTCCTTAGATTGCCCTTCCAGATGGCCAGCTCTCCTGCAGGAGTAAGCGCCCCCAGGCAAGGGCACTCAGCTGTGGCTCCTCAATCTGAAAGGGTCATAAATACATGAAGTTTGTGCTTTTCATTACACTGAACGTAACAGGAGGAGCCACCTTGTCAGCGTGCTCCCAAAGGGACAATCTGCACTAAAAGGTCTGCATAACAGCAGGGGGGCGAAAAAAACCCTTTGAGAGCAGTGTCCCTGGGCTGGATGTTGGTGACTTGGAGTCAGTGATCTCACAGGTCATCAGCGAGTCTGACTACAGCTTGCCGTCTTGCCTTTACCTCTTAGTTTTCTTTCTCCTTTGCTGTTTGTGTGGCCATGCTGCTGAGTCTGGATGCCTGCGGCTGTTTTGAGGGCTGCTGGCAGCAAGCACCGGCAGCTTGCCCCCTGTCCCAAAATAACCCAGCCACCTCCTCATAGTTTTCCACTGCAAGGTCGATGTTTGCAAGGAACACAGTGGGAAGGCAGCGTTTTTGAGGAGGTGAGGATCCATGAGACTTGGGCCCCGCTGGCCCTCGGTGAGCCGGGAAGGGAGGTGACGTGCGCCATCGGCAGGGCCTGAGCGCTGCCGCCTGGCACAGCCCAAGCTTTCCTGGTGCTGGAGGACACGGAGGTGGAAGGAAGGAGGTGCAGGAGTAAAGCTTGTGCAGGTCCACCTTCCATAAGGTGTGGGAAAAGAAGCGAGCAGCGATTCCTACTGATGCTGCTCACTATATGGTGCGCTTAACAAAACCTGCCCTTCTCAGACATAATGTACAGGAATTAAAGAACCACCTCGCGACAGGAGTTAAGGTCATTTTATATAGACCCATCCTGTAGAAGTGGAACGATTCAAATATTGCTGCGGTGGGTTCGCATCTGCAGGGCTACAGTGGTGGTGTCAGAGCAACAAACTACGCTGACTGCAAAAACAGGCTAATGTTGCAGGAATGACTAAGGCGATTACGGAGCTGCATGAATGATTAATTTACCCTGCTTTTGTTTCACTTTTGATCCCAGGCCCCTCTGCAAAAAAAAAAAAAAAAAAAAAAAAGAAATTTTTGGAGTAGGGTTTTTTAAAAAAAAAAA